ACTTTGACTTGCGACCAACTCGACTTGCGATCAGAGTCACGGAACGGATTAAGTTCGTAAGTAGAGGTACCACTGTACAGGCTAATTAGTCTGCTGAGCATGATCACTAAACTATATGCTAAGCACCCAAAGATTAAACTTCAAGATTGAATCCGAGAAGATTACTGGAGATAAACAAGCTGACTTTAGGGAAGGCTGGTCAACTCTTGATAAAATACTTGTTCTTACCCAGAAGCATCTACAAAAATGGAAATCTCCCTTATACATGGCATTTTTGGATTTCAAGTTTGCCTTTGCTTCTATCTCTCGATGTATTTTGGGGGGAAACCTCACAACACATTGATTGATAAGCAGCCATTTTTAATTTTTTTTGCTTCATGATTTTGTTCAATTTCCTACAAGTGAGATGCTCTCTACAAGGACTCCTTTCAGACAGAATAGCCATACAGAGAGAGATCCATTAAATTTGCAACCTTGTTCAATCTATATATTAATTCAATGGCATTAACCCTCAACAGTCTTGATTTCCATGCTCTCAAACTGCAGGCTGCAGGATACCCATCCTTGTGTACGCAGATGCTGCTACCATTGTATCTCAAACTCCAGTTGGGCTCAGAAGAGAATGAAATCTATAATCCTTTTCGCAAGCAAAGCAAGTTAACCCTTAATTGTCAGAAATGCAGAACTATGGCCTTTGGGAAAAAAACTAAAACCTAGATTATAGAGGAGAGTTGAGATTGAGCCAGTTGACAAGTTTTAAGTAGCTTGGAGTGGTTTTTGATGCCAAAGAGTCATGGAAAGTGCACACCTCTCAGGTGACATTACGATCTTCAGCCACCATTAGGTGCTTCTGTTTCTCCAAAGGTGAAGAGTTAGTTCTGACCAATTGTCAAAAGATTCACTCAGATCTTTTTCAGAACACAGGTGGGAATCTATACCTCAAAGAATACTGTGGAAGTGGTGCAAACAAAATTTTTGAGATTTTGTTCTAGCCACCCCAAGCTCTGTAACCATCACTCTCAGACCTCAAGTGGGGATGCCTATAACAGAGACTACAGTCTGCAAGCTGATGGTCAATTACTGGCTAAAGATCCAGTTCTTCTCCACTGGCTGTTAACTCTTGTATGGGCAGAGGACCATTCTCCAGGCTGGAGGGAGGCTATAGAGTCCAAGTTAGCATCTCATGGACTCACAGCCAGGTTCTTTTTTGTCCTGGGGTGTGAAAAGGCCAGACACATACCCACTCAAAGGATAGATGATATGGAGGACCAGCTGGACATCAGTAGGATGCCATATAACGGTGGAACTTGGATTTCAAGCTGACCTTGGATGCCAACAAATAGTTAACATCTTTCACCTTCCCCAGGCTGAGGAACAACCTTTTCTGAGCATGGCATACTGTATTACCATCAACACCTCTATCAGATACTCTAAAATCCCCTTACCCAAATAAGTTTGCCCTTGTGGTTTAGAGAAAATTAAGCCATTGCCTCTGTATTGCTGTACTGAAATTTGTATAGGGACACAGAGTCCTCTCATTTCATCTCTTCTGGGACAGTATTCAGGACAAACAGACCATTGTTGTATAAAGCTTCTACTTTCTGATTCTTACATTAGTATTACTGTCACCATGGCTAGGTTCTGTGTTGCTGAGGTTAAAACGTGCCATCAAATATTATATCCCTGATTATTAGGTTTTAATGTTTTTTTTAACCTATTGATTGCAGTAAAGTACGTACATATGAAAAGCCACTCCAAGTTTTGCTTTGACAGTGGAAAGACAGGATATACATACATTTCCTAAAATAAATCAGTAGCTGCCATTAACAGCTACTGCGATCATCAAATAAAAAGGCTAGTTTCAAAAATAAATTCTTCACAGGGAAACCCTAGCCCTAACCCTTAGTATTTTGGGGGTGAAGCCTGCCCTGTCCTGTCGATCTCCAAGCATTTTAAAGTATGGATCCTGCTGAACTTCTTTGTCCTGGGGAGTGAAAAGGCCAGACACACACTCCCTCAAAGGATAGATGATATCCTTTCTACTCTACTCTAGAGCTTCTACTCTAATTATATCAAAAGTCAGAGGAATTAGCACATGAGGAGACGAGATGGTTTTATGTGTCTAATCTCCAGTGCCAACTTCCAGATACTTTTGCTGGAAAACAATGCAATAAGATGTCGAGTACAGAAAGCTGTTTAACCCAAGTGTTTTGCTCGTGCTCAGGTGCCTGACGGAGCCACTCTTGCACTGGTTCCTCGAATGACCAAGCACCTTCCCAGGGAGAATCAGGATTACATCCCTGGAGAGAGTGAGTGACCCCGACTCTTATTTGGTGGTTAGGGAAAAATCAGGTTGGGCGGGCTAAATGGGCAAAGGAATGAAATGGACTGGAAGTTAATTCCAAAACCAGTTTGGAGTAGCACGTTAATTTAAGAAGAAAGAAAATGTTCAGCTGGGAAATTGGGCAACTACCATCTGACAATCTACTGCAAATCATCCAGAGTGATCTTCTGCTGGCTTGTGTTTTAGAAACTCCTATGCTGGAGGATGCAGATGAGGGTGGCATGAAGCTTTGGCACCTGGTGAAGCCGACCGAGGAGCCTGAGCTACCTAAACATCGGCGAGGGAGCCTGCGGGAACGGGAAAGAGCCAAAGCCATTCCTGAGATCTATCTAACTCGCCTCCTTTCCATGAAGGTAAGAAGGAATCCAGTCTTTTCTATCGGTTCCCAGCCATTCTTTCAGGCTTTAATTCCATCCATACAATCTTTGAAGGAAGCCCCACTGAACAAATAAGACTTTCTTCTCCATAAATATGCACAGCATTACAGTGCCAGTCTAGTTTCCTTGACTTGATCTCATCTACACAGATGTTTTCTGGGAATTTAAATGGAGGGCAAATTAGGACAGATAAAAGGAGACATTTCAGCACACTGGGCATAGCTACTCTATGGGATTCTTTGCCACAAGATGCAGTGATAATGTTAGGGGAGCTGAGAGGTTCCCCAATACAACATACTTCTAAGGGCTCTGTAGGAAAAGGTACTTAGATAGATGCATATTGTTGCTTTCCAACTCAGTGATAAAAAGATTTTCTTATTAGTGGAGATTAAAAAAAAAA